CCTGGCATGTATGGATTTCTTCTTCTCTTGCACTTTCATTCAACTTTGCTAGAACGAGGTGAGTATGAGCAAGTAACTGTTAATTCTTGTTACAGAGTCTAAGGGCACAAAAGCCAATTATCAATGGTGTAGATGGCCTTCTGGAAAAAAAAAAATACTGTAAAATCAAAGACCACTCTACTCCTAGACATGAACTCCAGGCAGCAATCTCAGGCACCTTCTCTCTTCCCAGCGCTCCAGCAGGCAAGGAAGGCACGCTGCCACGCCACTGCTGAGCCTCGCGGGAAGGAGCTCAGGCATCGCACAAGAATCCCACAGCAACTGATAATTTCACGTGTGCCTTGCCCCTGAGACCTTTTCTCATTCCCCATTTCATTTTTACATACTGGTGAATAGTTGGGCTCAGTACCTACTGAAGGTGAGCTCCTCGCCTTTTCTCCAGGCGCCCATCCAAGCACGTGTGCTGTCGATGGTTCCTCTCCCTGCCCTCCTGCCACTGCCACACTTCACTACAAAGCTGCTCAGAGACTGGTTGCACAGGCAGCTCCTCTCCCCTTCCTTCTCCCCACCCACACGCTTTGCTTCAAATACTGTTAATATGAATGTTAAGAAACTTAGGAATAACCAGTATGTATTCCAGGTCTCATGCTGGTGCTTGTTTAATATATCATGTTATATCTAAACCTCAACGGATAAGATACGACACATGTTGTAACAAATCCTTCCTGAGCGCATTCTCACATCTTCGGCAGATGATCACGGCGCTTACAACCCTGAATCTCAGTCTACACAAGTCATCAATGAGCTACGAAACAGTTATGTCAGCACGGACCCAAGTACAAAGGAAATTCTTTTTTTTTGATATTTTGATCATTTTAAATAATCAGCAGCTTCAATGCATTATTTGCTTTTGAATAGGAAAGATGATAGAAAACACACCCTTTTCATCTTGCAACTTCAAAAACAAGGACTATATAAATATTTAGTGACTGATCAGCACACTCTGAATTAGAAGCGAGACAATTGCAATTAATATTACCCATATGTCATCAGCGCCACAAACCAGTCATACTGAAAGCCAAGGAAATGGCAATAGCAAAGTCCAAGTCAAATGTCCTCATGACAACCCTTTTTCACAGACATAAGACAGAAAAGTTTCAGGCTTTCTGGTGCATCTAGCTGCTGAGAAAGCTCAGCAGGTACCCTGCAAAGAAGCTTCAGAAGACACAGCTAGAGCAGTCTGGACCCTGGTTACATCCCAGGACATGGACCTACCATAAAGGTGGGGAATCTCCCAAAATCCCTTTGGGGAGATCTTCATTGGTAATTGTTAACATGGAAAGGGATTACCCAGCCTGAGAGCACACAAGTGCATTCGAGACTTTGGTGATAGACAGGAAAGTTGGCGTTAGCTAGCTGGAACTAGCTTTTGGAAACGCACAAGAAAGCGAACACCTTCAGAACCTGCTGCATGGCTCTGAAAGAATTACTTGCAGTCAGCTCCGAGATGGATTTCATACATTGCCACGTTCTGTGCTGTACACCAGAGCGAACTTGTCACTTCAGCCGCTGACAAATCCTCAAAGATAAAGCTGCGAAGTCACCCTCGCTTTGTAGCGCGACAGTCATACCCGTCAGCTGCTTCCAATAGCAAGCAGGATTTGCTTGCGGTGTCCGACACAAAGATATGCAAAATAAGCAGAGAGAAGGAAATACAGCTGCACAAGACGTTGCTCAGCACTAGTTCAAATTCAAGTGACTTCATTGTGAGCAGATTTGGGTCAAAGCTGAGCACCCATGCTTAGGCTGGGCACCCAACCTCTTACTAAGGAAGAGAACAGGCAGGGTGCACTGCGCTCACCTCTGAGCGAAAGATGACATCCCTTAAAAAATAATAATAAAAAAAAGGCACATACACCCATATATATTACATATATATATAAATAGGTATCTATGCACATATACATATATATACACACACAAATCTGTCTCTTCTCCATCTTTGGTCCAAAAGCAGCCAAAGGAAGGAAAGAACTGACCTCTTCCCAACCCTGTCAATGGGCAGGCCCAGTCTTTAGTAGGGCAGAGGTAGCTAAAGTATAGCCATTAGCTTTAAAGCAAATATTGCCAATCAAATTCCAACAGCAGCTCTTAGCCCCAAGTCACGTGCTGTGTTACACAGCGCTGCCACATCAAATGCATTTCTTCTTGCCCTGTCTAATGGAGTTTTCCATGCTGCTGGGACATCCCTGTTTTCTTTAAACTTTGCTTTAAAATAAAAACTCCTAAGGGCAAGGATATTTCCTTGGTAGCTAGTAGAAACTACTGATTATCTGTCAGCTTTCAATTTTAAAAAAAAAAAAGAAAACCAATTTTATCACCATGCAATCTAAAGGACTGTGGGCTATGAAGCAGTACAAATAGCTAAAGCAAAACAAAGGCATTTCCTGGCATCATGCTGGACATCAGCTCAAAACAGACTTCAAAGAGCACCTACCATTTCAACTCCATGTACTGTAGAGAGCGTGCAGGGCATGCACACAGCTGTCTGCTTTCAGCAGTACCTTGAGCAGTGTAATAGGAAAAGCTTTCTCACAGTAAATGACACCAGTCGATTGCTAGTTATTACGAAACTCTGGATTCATGCAGAACGTAGGCGAGTGCACCCTAGTGTGTCTGCAGGACCTGGTCTACCAACTACATCAGTGAACCACAGGCAACTTTGCAAAGCCGATAAGCAAAACATTCCAAACAAACAACTCCCACAAAAGCATAAGCTGAGTGAAGTAAAAAAGCTTAAAGGCATGAACAACTCTTCCACGAAGTGCATGATACATTAACACCTTATCCTATAGCATACTGTACATTAGCCGGAGTTGTCAGTAACCTAAACTGCATTTTGGAAAAGCCATCCCTGAAGGATGTGCGTGTTGCAGGGAGCAATGCAGGTTCACCAGCATGTACACAATCCCATGAAAAATACATGTGGGTGAGGTACCTATCTGGTCTGGCAAGTTTCAGTCCACAGCACATGTTTATTTTCAAACAGCAAGTCCAACAACAGTAATTTACAGAATTACCAGCAAATATTTAGCTACGCAGAGCAACTTTACATTGAGTTTTGACTTTAAAAAAATGTGGTTAGCTATTCAATGGGCAGCCTTAAGCATTGCTTTCATCACAGAAAACGGATCTATACCAGCTTAACAAATACTTTAAGACCCCAGGACAACACGCGTGGCCTACATTTCCATTAGCCTCGAGTTGTGCACTGCATTACACCACAGCCCAGTGAGAATAAACAAAATTAGCCACAGCAATCTGAACAGAGCTCCTCCAGCACGGAGCCCTTCGCAGCTCGAGCCACGAGGCCAGCCCTGCCCACCGCTGCGATGCCAGCCAGCGCTCCTCCCCACCACCTCTGGCCTTCAGCCAAGCCTTACGAAGTCCAGCAACATTTACATCAAACCTCCATCCTGGTCAACCCGCTAAAAAGAAAACCCATCTAGATTTCCTTTACATGTATATTCTATTAAGAGCGCATTTATCCTCGCTGGCTGAGGGAAGAAATGGAAGTGACTAGCAACGCTGCTATACATTACCATCATTCAAGCTGGGATGTACAGCGCCCAGAAGCACTCTGAAAGCCTCAAATTTGCACTGAAGAGATGTTACCACAGCGCAAAAAGCTGCAAGTAAAGGATGCCAGTGAGCTGTAGTGAGCAGCCACAACGCAACCTGACTTACAGACCTTTAGCCCAGTAGAGCCATCCCTCCAGCTTCTTTCCACTCTGTTCTTGGCCAGGAAGAATTACAAGGGTAGGACAGCTGGGTATGTAACACACTGCTGCTCATCACTTTAATCAAGTAGTTTTAATAAACAACATCTTAGAAAACCACATTCTGCTTTCCTCTTCAATTGCTGCCATTATGCCTCAAACGCATAAGCAAAAAGGCTCCCCAGAGGAAAAGTCTCTGAACATCTGAATGAAAACAGCAACCACCCCCCACACACAAAGTAACCATCGCACATGGCTCTGGAGCACTGCACTGAGTTCCACTGGGAAAAGTATTTTCCCTCCCCCCAGAAAGAGGACAGTGACCTATCCACAAACAAGGGGCAAATGGTGATTGTAAAGGAAAACGAGACAAAAATAGCTTGCTCGATTTTTCTTGGTACATGGAAAATCCATTACAGAAGTTTACACAGCAACAACGAAGCCTGACAAGTTAATGAGCTGCTGCATGGGGAGTCACAGGAGAGACAGCCCATCGCTCAGAAATTCCTGTGCTGCACAAAGCACGAGTCGTAAAGGTGACTGTAATTTGGCCAAACCAAAAATCACCAGCTCTGTTTCTTTTAAGAAGCAAGATATTTCAATAGTACTTCGCTGTTTTCTTGTTTGGTTGTCTTTTGATGCCTCTATGCAACAACAAAAAAACACCACAACCAAGCGGGCAAAACCCTCACAACCCTGAAGGGCCACTTGCAAAAAGGCAGCATCGCTTGATTATACCAAAGCCCCAAGGCTTTACATACTCAAAGCCTGTTGAATATAAAGCCTGGCGTTTCTAAGCTGGCTTAGGTGGCACTTGCAAAGTCAAACAGAAGCGCAGTGAGCACGCTGGGGACAGAGGTGGGATCGCTGCGAGCCCAGGGCTCTCCAGCCCAGCGGTGCCACTCCATGCTCGCAGAGCCACGGCAGGGCCCCGGCAGGACCCAGAGCGGTGAAGTTGTGTCCTCTCGTGAGGCAGGGATGAGGCAGAGCCCCGGCAGACACCGAGGCACAGGATGGTCGCTCAAGGTCATCCCCAGCCGGCAGCGGGACACCGAGGCACGTTAGCTAGCAAGAAACCCACGCTTCTCTTCCCAATGCCAGTTATCAAACTTCCCACTTGTTGTTACGAGAACGCACGGCATCTGGCGTTATTCTGTCAGCAGCCCCGAACAATGTAATAGCAACGAGATACCCGCGGCCCTGACGGGCTGTTTTACTTACAGAGCCAGCACTAACAACGCAGCATCCCTCGGAGCAGCTCCGCCAGCCAGGCAGGGCTCAGCCGCAAGCGCCAAGAGCCCCTCTCCGGGGCTGGTTTCTCCCGGGGGGACAAGGGCTCTCCGAGGAGGACCCGGCTTTCAGGGAGCGCTTCTGTCACCGCAGGCGAGCGGAGCGCCGTGACAGCCCCAGCCCCGGCACGGAGGGGATGGTGCCGCTGGCCGCTTTGTCCCGCAGCGCTGCGAGCCGCGAGCCCCGGGCACAGAGCGGGGCAGGGACCCGGCGGCAGCACGGAGCGGCCCCGCAGCCTGCCCGGGGCACCGAGGGGACTCCGCAGGAGTGAGGCGGGGGCGCGCCGGGCAGTGCCGGGCTTTGTTGCAGCTCCAGCCTCACGCCCGGAGCCGGGGCTGGCTCCTGGCTCCGCTCCGGGTCTGGGATCGGTCCGAGCGCTGCCCACAGAGCCCCGAGCGAGCCCTGCCGACACCCAGCAGTAATCCCCGCCACGGCTCGGGGAAGCGATCTCCTTCTCTAAACGCCGCGCTGGGCAAACACTTCGGAAGGGCGCCTCCCCGCCCGGCAGCCCGGCCGGGAGCAGCCCCGATCCCCGCGGAACCCCGCCCCGGGAGGCCCCGAACTTACCGCCAGGCACCGCGGGGGCACGGCCGGGCAGGGCAGGGCAGGGCGAGCCCGGCACCGCTCCGCCGGGGCGCAGCGCTGAAAGGGGAAGCGCCGCCGGGAGGCGGGGAGGGAGCGGGGACGGGAGCGGGGACAGCCGGGCCGGGCGCTGCCGGAGCCGCGGCCCCGGCACGGAGGCGCCCCGGGGCTGGGAGCCGGGGCTCGGCGCTGCTCGGCGTGGCCGGGCCGGGCCGCCCGGGAGCCCCGCCCGGTGCGCGGTGCCCGGGGAGGCGGCTGCCGCCCGCTACCGGCCCCCGAGCGCCGCCCGCCCGGCCGGCGGCTGCCTGAGGCGGCGCAGCCGGGGCGCGCCGGGCTCCCCCCCTCCCGCCACAGGCGACGCCGCCGGGCTCATGGCGGCGCCGGGCCGCGACTCCAAAGGGCCGGGGGAGCCGCCAGGGGAGGCGACGCCTCTTCCCTTCCCTTCCCTTCCCTTCCCTTCCCTTCCCTTCCCTTCCCTTCCCTTCCCTTCCCTTCCCTTCCCTTCCCTTCCCTTCCCTTCCCTTCCCTTCCCTTCCCTTCCCTTCCCTTCCCTCACCTCACACGGACGCTGCCCGTTCCCTCGCCCGCCGCCCCGGCGCTCTCCTTGCAGCCGCTGCCTCTCCTCCTGCCCCAAACCGAGATCAGTCCCGGGGAGGGAAGCAGCGCAGATGGACCTCACAGAGACCTTACAGCGCTCCGTAAAGGTGGCATAAAATAGCTGCCTCGCGTGGGATGAGGCAGTAAAAGCTTACAGAGGTGAAAAACTTAGTTTTTTTTCCCTGTAGTATTTTTCCCTCGAGTTCTAGTGCTCTGCCTACGCACTGTACTTCTAGGGATGGAGAGGGCAAGGATATTTTACCTCAGCTTTCACGGTGATGCTTACTTCTACACTATTTTTCATTTACTGAAGTCTTCAGACTTTAACAAGTTCAAGAAACTGGGCAGGAGAAACGCCCATGCCTACCCCATAAAAAATGCTGAGGAGATTCAGTCCTTGGAGCTGCAGATTCTGTGAGCCTTCAGTCAAGATACCCTCGGTGCAGGCTGTGGGTAAAACGAGCAGGTGCTTCACACAAGCCACACAGGCAGGAGAAGCGTCAGAAAATGGCAGTGCCCCTCCTGGGGGACATGGAGATGCCTCTGGGGCTCACACACAGCTGCCGACCCGACTGAGGAAACAGGACCAAACTCAAGTTCCCCCTCCTGGCCCCGCATTCACACCCATCCCTCAGCCTGTGGGATAACACAGAATTTCTAGGTTGGAAGAGACCTCAAGATCGAGTCCAACCTCTGACCTAACACTAACAGTCCCCACTAAACCATATCATTGAGCTCTACCTCTAAACGTCTTTTAAAGACCTCCAGGGATACATCCTGTACGTTAAACGGAAAAGAGGATGAACGGGACTTTTCCGCGTGTTCCGAAGTTCCTTAAGCCTAAGAAAGGCTTTCTGCGGCTTCACATACCCTCAGGCAGTCTTGCTCTGGTTTACATGCACATGACTGGAAATCTTGGAACATGTCGTCTTCGCTCTTCTTTCCTAGTGGTCAAGTTACTGAATTTAAATCCCACGCTTCTCCTGGATTTGAGCAGCAGCTAACAGCTACTCCGTGGCTATCACGTGGGAGAGAAGCCCGAGAACGGGCTATGTTTGTAAGGGGGGCAAGCCTGTGCCTTGACGAATGTTTTGGTTTCTTCTCCTCAGATTTTTTACAGACTTACTTCTCAAACACTTTCTCAGTGCAGCAGTGTCTCCTAACACTTTTTTTGGCAGTTAGCAGTAAGTTTTTCAGCATAAGATGGGATGCAGTCCTTCGCGTCTGTGCCAAGCTCAATGCAGAAAGCAAACTTGGAAAGTCTTTCTACAGAGTTTGGAATACTAATTCTACAACAGGAGATTAAAGAAATCACATTAGAAGTCCACTTTTGTATCTTTCCAGCTAGCTTTAGACACCTAGGGCTGAAAATTGAACAATGAAAAGATCAATCGGGCAGAACCGAGTTTGGGAACACACTTCATGTGCAAATGTGAAAACAATTGAGGGTGGAGAAAGTGTCATTTTGATTAATGAAGGCTAGAATGTGCTACTTGTATGTAGACAAGAATGTATATATACACCTCTCCACAAGGTTCATTAAAACAATAGGAAATAATCACATTTTTAAAATACTAACACGATTTTAAAAGAGTTAGAACACACTATAGGCATGGCAGGTTCTTTTGAGCTGATCTCATACAGTAATGGGGAGGAGAAGAGGAGGCACAGGTTTGTATAACAGCATTATGAACCTTTCAAGATAAACTCTGTGAAGCATAAAATCAACAAAATCAACCCTTTGGTGCAGTTCCTGGAGCCGCACGGCACAAAGGACAGGACCCAGACTGTGCCATAAACATCTTGCCTTACTGACACTACCCACACCTTCCACTTGTTTGATTTACCTCACAAAATAAAAACCACAGTCAGAAAGAAAAGCTTAAGAATAATATACAAGGCTGAATAAAGCTTAAGAATAATATACATGATTTCCCAGAATGTCAGGGAACAGTGCTGTGAGGTGGTGAGGTGCAGGTGAGGAACCTTTTGCCTCTCCTGTCTGCTCGGAATTGCTGGGCAGGCATTTCAGAACAAAAGCTGCCCGCTGCTGCCCAGGAAGGAGTAAGTGCAGTTAATAAAAAAAGTAAATAAAGTCCATTTAGATGAGAGAAAGCAACGTTTTGCTTTCTATTTACATCATACACAAGAATCACAATTTGAAGGTGTATCTTCAAATACACCTTATACACCTTTTCTTATACCAGGTGTATCACTGGAGCTTGGCATACAGGCCACGAAGAGGGAACTGCCCAACTTCGCTCTTCCCATACACACTTAACCTTCATGTTGAGTTCCACACTTACAGCATGGCGAACCTTTGCCCACCCTCAACTTCACCCGAAAATAATTAGGAAACGTTTCCTACACACATATAATAACCACTGAGTCCTGACCCTACAATCTCCCGAGATAACAAGCTGACTCACTGTGATTTTCTGGGCACTGCTACACTCGGGATGGCAGTGGCTGCTCTGGGCGCTGGCTCTGCCGACAGCCCAGCTCGCAGGACAGGACGGCCTCGCAGCACAGGCAGAGTGAGCCACAACAAAGGCACTGCTCCGTAGCACACGTTTCAATATCCCAGTAGTTGTTCCTGTTTGGATGCAGGCCTAAATGCAGGTCAGGATTTTAGGCAACCTCCAGAGAAGGGAAGAAGGGAGAGATGAGCAAGGCCACACACACAGCGTTATCAGCAGAAGGAACAGCATGGGCAAAGGCCCTCTCTGAGTCCACAAGATGGCAAAAAGCACAGACCTGAGATTTATGAATTCCAAGAACAGTGCATCACATTTGCCATTTAAGGTGCTTAAACAACCCGTGATATTTCTAACAGCTCCTTAGGTATGGCAATACTAGAATCATCATTCTTACAGTGGAGCAAAAGTTGAGAATGATGATGAATAACTATTTTCACAGATTTTAGATATCCACGTGAAAAGACGTTAGACTGAGATCTGCTCTCCTAGGTCATTGGGCAGAAGTTAGAATTTATTTCTCAGAGTACAACCTGATACAACCACAACGATGAAAGCCCACAGAGGTTAGGAAATCAACACTTACAAAAATGTATCCTCAGTTCAAAGATTCTAAATAGAGGATGAAGATTCTAAACAGAGGATAAAGATCCTGCATGTCCCATCTGAGAAATAAGGCTGACATTCAGAAACACTTAACATTGCAAAAGCAGCTTATTTTAAAATGTCAAAAGTCAGTCTATCCAAAAGCAGAGCCACCCGTGCTCTCAAATGTATTTTCATAGCTTACTGTATACCTCATACCCTATAACATAGTCAAGTCTCTTTCTCAAACTCATCAAATGAAAACAAAACAAAACAAAACAAAAGCACTACTCTTAGACTACAGAAGCATAATACTTTCATGTAATACGAAAGCAGCTCCCCTCCCCCCCACCCCCAAGTCTCAAGGACTGTCTGAAGTAACTGATTTCTCTGTGGAGTTGGTATTCAAGTCTTAACATCATGCAAAATTTAGTTGGACATAGGCAGCCATAAGTTTCCATCAGAACAGAAGCAAGACAGTCAAAAGGGAGGCTTTTTTTCTTAAACAGCGCTGACTACTTGTCCTGTGCCAGCTGTGAACAAGACAGAGACATCTCAGAAGACACAAAAGAATCAAGTGATAAGCAATGGCAGTAGTTACAATAACGAGAACAATCCAAAATTCATTCTACTTGCTTATTCCAGGTTGTGCAAGACCAAAAGGGCAAACTGTAGTGGTTAAATTCCAAAGCAGAAGAAGCCTCCAAGATGGATCTCTGAGGACACAGTTCCTGTTTGGGACGTGGAGAGCCCACCTCCAGCAGCTGCCGCAGGCCAGTACCAAGAGGTGGGTTCTTTGAACTTGCTTTGAAACTACATGAAACCCTTTAAAGTCATTGCAATGTCACAAACCCCAACTGAAACTGACTAGAGGCTCATTCACACCACTGAACTCTGGCACTGTAGTCTCGGCTTTGAAATCTACTAATGCATGCAATTGTATTTTGCACTAGTTTTAATTTTCACATGGCATTACTGTATGGCACTTTCCAGAGTACGTTACAGCAAACATATGCAGCTATTAAAAAGTCCTTTAGAAAGAGAAATCAAGTACAAAAATTTCAGTAGAAGAGATGGATATGGAGTCTGGGACAGCGGCTGTCACAGGAATATCTAAAACCAAGTTAGTATACAAGACTGCTGATGTTGCAGTACATAATGTGTTGTTTGGTTTTGTTTTTGCAGATGGTGAACTGAGGTCCAAGGAGCTCCTCAATCGAGTCTCCTCACTGCATCAGTATCATTTTAGCTTGATTTAAGCTGAATCATGACTGATCCAAACTCCCTGAGTTAGTGGGTCACTGTGT